TCCACTATTTTGCTTAAAAGCACCTCTGAGAACAGGGAGGACCAGACTGAACGCTGGACGACTTGTGATTACGCCTGTTGTGGTTTTTCGAAATTTAAGCGGTTTTTATAACTGTTAGCGATAGCTTCACCCAAAAGCATGAATGGGTAATAACTCGGATTAGCAATCATTATTTCCATAATGAATTGCTCCAAATGCTTATCGCTGAAAATCCGCCAGCTTTGCTAAATTTGTTAGCGAGCTTGTGACAAATAAAAAGCAAATTGGAATTCAATTCAGCAGAGGGAAAAAGTAAGTGCACGAAGACCACGTATTGCCTCCAATTTACCATGAGAGAGGCGAGTTGTTGTTGAGCTCGAGGACAGCCATACTCACTTCGAACAAGCAGTATGGAAGAATAGCGAGTTGGGTGTGAAACTATCTTAAAAAAGCAGTACATACAGCATTCACCAGATGCCTTTTTCATTACCGACAAATTACCGACTGCCAGTGCGTCAGTCATCAGTTTAACTGTACTGTCAATTCAATTGCGCGAAAGTGAATAGTAGAATACCACGATTGTGAGGAGAAAAAGTATGCCATGTACCAACAACGAACCACGGAACGACATCTGAATGGTGTCAGCAAAAACATCTCCGAAAAAGTACCGCGGCCCCGTTCTGGCGTTAGCGGTGTTATCAAGACTCTGTACGCCAAGAGGAAAAAGATGGGAATTGATTTTTTTGACAAAGGTGGAAGGCGACAAGGTGAGCTACATGAATTACTGAGTATCGTTACGAGAAGGTTGGGAAGGTCACCAGTATGATAGACTCCACTTAAACAGCTATGAGAATTACGTGAGTGATTTCAAACAAGGAAAAAAGTTGCCAGCTTATAAATGACTGGGCAATAAGTTAATTAAACTAATTAAATTCTCTGAATAGTGGTGAGTTAATAAACAAAAAACTTTCTAGTATAATTAAAAATAAAGAAAAATATTAAAATGCATCACTTTTTTCAGTGCCAGAATTTCAAAAATTTGAAAAAAGAAGCTCTACTGCTTATTTCAGTATGCGAATTCAAACCTGTCAACATGAATTCAAGAACATCACGTTGAATCATATATTCGAAGAGCGTTTCTTCTACTGTTCTACCATTCATTAAATCCAAAACAGAATGCAGAAACGGCACAGTCGGGACAAAAAGATTGCCACCAGTATCTTGATCAGTCTGAATGAGGAAAATGATGAGCATAAGGAATGAAAATGTTGCCACTATCCTACCAAATGCCTGTCAGAAATTCAATATTACACCAAACTGGTTAAGATGAGAAATAGCAGCAATGCCGGGAAGGCAGAAATAATGAGAAGCATGAAAGACCTGGATATTTTAGCACTAAAAAGAAAGATTCGGACATTTTTTCTAAGCTGTGATCCTGAAAACAATTTTCAGATCGGCCTGGCTTTTGACTTACATTATGAATCTTCTAAATGATATCCATTTAAACCCAAGCTGGGCTACTTCATGCTGCAGCAAGATCACAAGAAAGTTTGTGACATACTGGCTCTCGAAGTTCAGGAAG